AGTCAAAAATGTTAAATAGTAGCTACTTTTGCACAAGGTTGCTTCAAAAATTCACTATATCTTTGAAATAATGTTAAACAAATTTTTTGTCATGTTTTATTGATTTAAAGTCATTTGCACAAATTGCTTTGTCAGTTTGAGCAATTTCTGTGAAGTTCTGGTAGATTTGCAGTCAGAAATGTTAAATAGTAGCTACTTTTGCACTTGGTTGCATCATAAATTCGCTGTATCTTTGAAATCATGTTAAACAAATTTTTTGTAATGTTTTATTTATTTAAGATCATTTGTACAAATTGCTGAGTTAGTTTGAGCAATTTCTGTGAAGTTCTGGTAGATTTGTAGTCAAAAATATTAAATAGTAGCTACTTTTGCACAAGGTTGCTTCATAAATTCACTATATCTTTGAAATAATGTTAAACAAATTTTTTGTCATGTTTTATTGATTTAAAGTCATTTGCACAAATTGCTTTGTCAGTTTGAGCAATTTCTGTGAAGTTCTGGTAGATTTGCAGTCAAAAATGTTAAATAGTAGCTACTTTTGCACTTGGTTGCATCATAAATTCGCTGTATCTTTGAAATCATGTTAAACAAATTTTTTGTCATGTTTTATTGATTTAAGATCATTTGCACAAATTGCTTTGTCACTTTGAGCGATTTCTGTGAAGTTCTGGTAGATTTGCAGTCAAAAATATTAAATAGTAGCTACTTTTGCACAAGGTTGCTTCATAAATTCACTATATCTTTGAAATAATGTTAAACAAATTTTTTGTCATGTTTTATTGATTTAAGATCATTTGCACAAATTTCTTTGTCAGTTTGAGCAATTTCTGTGAAGTTCTGGTAGATTTGCAGTCAAAAATGTTAAATAGTAGCTACTTTTGCACTAGGTTGCTTCATAAATTCACTGTATCTTTGAAATAATGTTAAACAAATTTTTTGTCATGTTTTATTGATTTAAGAACATTCACACAAATTAATTTGCCAGTTTGAGCAATTTCTGTGAAGTTCTGGTAGATTTGCAGTCGAAAATGTTAAATAATAGCTACTTTTGCACTAGGTTGCTTCATAAATTCACTGTATTTTTGAAATAATGTTAAACAAATTTTTTGTCATGTTTTATTGATTTAAGAACATTCACACAAATTGGTTTGCCAGTTTGAGCAATTTCTGTGAAGTTCTGGTAGATTTGCAGTCAAAAATGTTAAATAGTAGCTCCTTTTGCAATAGGTTGCATCATAAATTCGCTGTTTCTTTGAAATAATGTTAAACAAATTTTTTGTCCTGTTTTATTGATTTAAGAACATTCACACAAATTGGTTTGCCAGTTTGAGCAATTTCTGTGAAGTTCTGGTAGATTTGCAGTCAAAAATATTAAATAGTAGCTACTTTTGCACAAGGTTGCTTCATAAATTCGCTGTATTTTTGAAATCATGTTAAACAAATTTTTTGTCATGTTTTATTGATTTAAGAACATTCACACAAATTTCTTTGTCACTTTGAGCAATTTTTTTTTTTTTTTTTTTTTTTTTAAATTGATTCATTTATTGTAATTTAGTATTAAACTGTATTTTACAAATGCATAACGTTACGAAATTAACTTATTCTAATTGATTACATATCACACCATAGGTTCTTTAAATATAGATGCTCTCTTAAACGCGCTTTAAATAAATTGATACTATTAAATTTCTTTACTTCTGCTGGAATTTCATTAAATTCTGAAAACGCTCTGACAAAATAATTTTGAGCACCAAGTTTAGTGTTCACTTTCTGAATGACCAAATTGTTGCCATTTCTTGTCATATGTCTATGTGTTTGGCTGACAAACACTAACGGAAAATTAATTTTTGCAGAGTTATTAATAAATTTGAATGTTAGTAATGCTGAGGATAGTTGACACATAGCTGAGACTGGCAATATTTTTTCAGAATAAAGTTCCAAACGACTGCACAAATGATCCTTACATAACACAATACGTAGGGCTTTCCTTTGAATGATTTCAATAGAGTTCATGAGATATTTTGGCACGGCTGCCCATATAACATTCATATAGCATAATCTGGATTGTATGTACGCAAAATATAGTGAAGTAGCAGTTTGTTCTGATATTAATGATCGAATTCTTTTTAAAGCAAAAGACTATTTTCTTTTGCAACTGATAAATGTGAAAAGAGAAGGATAATGTCTCATCTATTTCTAGACCTAAAAGTGTTGTGTGCTCAACACGTTCAATAATTTTGCCATTAAAACGAATATTTAAAGATATTTCATAAAAGTTCTCTTGTCTCATCTTGTTATGGAAAAGAATGTATTTAGTTTTACTCTCGTTTGGAAACAGAAAGTGAAATTTTAGCCAAATAGATATTCTTCCTAAATCTTGTTCTATGCGTTGCTTTAAAATTTGTGGATTGGTTGCAGAAGTGACTATAGAGAAATCGTCACAATATAAGTAAATTGATGAGTGCAATTCGATAGCATTCACACTATTAATATAGAAATTAAACAGGATTCCTGAAAGAACACCTCCTTGAGCTACACCGTAAATTACATTAAGCAGGCTGCTGATGATATCTTCAATTTTTACGAACTGAGAACGATTATGAAAATAAGAGGAAATAATGTTCATGAAACTATCCGGTAATTTCAGCTTTTCAAGTTTACTAAGCAGTAGTGAATGAATCACACAGTCGAATGCTGCTGACAAATCTAGGCATGTAAGCGCTGTTGAATTCCGGATGTCAACACTGTGGTAAACATCATTTAATATGTGAGCGACCGCAATTTCAGTGTTTGCAGCTTTTGTGTACCCGAATTGATTGACTGACATTATATTATTTGATTGCATGTGATCTTCAAGCCGTCTTTTGAGTACGTACTCAAAAACTTTTGAAAATATTGGAAGAATTGTTATTGGACGATAGTTGGACATGTCTGTTTTGCTGCCTTTTTTATGAATCGGAGTTACTAGGCCAATTTTAAGACAGTCATGAAAAACGCCACGATCTAAATCAGTATTAATAATTAACGTTAGTTTGGGGACTAGACTATTTTTATGCATTTTTAAGAAATTATTTGACAAGCCATAGAAGTCCATGGCTTTAGAATTCGATAAGTTGTCTATTATTAAAGAAATTTCGTCTTCTGTGCACTGTGGATTTTCGAAATTTGAGGTAATATCATATTGCTCATATGCATGAAATGCGTGGAAATCTTCATCATCAATACGTTGCGAAGAAACCTGATAGTGGATTTTATTAATGAAATGCTGGTTAAATTTGTTTGCAATGGCAAGCTTATTCGTTACTGGAATTCCATTATCATATATTAATTCACATGAATTGCTTTTTGAGATACTGGCATTGTATAACAGTGATTTCATTTGTGTCCATATCTTATGTGGATCATTTGCATTCGTTTGGAAAAAGTTATCTAGATATTTTTTCTTACTTTCCTTAATCATATTTGAAACTAAATTTCTGTAATATTTGTACTTGATGATAGCATAATTGAAATGAGGATAACGCAGTTTTATTTTTAGATAATTATTACGGATTCTAATTAAGTTAAGTATTTCATTATTAACATACGGTTTGTGATTGACTGTTGTAGTCGAGACTTTTATAGAATTTCTATCGATCACTGCTTTAATAGCGTCAAGGAGAGAAGAAAAGTCAGTAGCCTCAATATTGCCTAGGAGATTATTATCAATGATTCTTTTATGATTTATGACTTTGTAGCTGTTTAGACTGACAGTTTTATTCGGTTGAAAATTATGACAATCGACAGACACTAAAATGGACTTATGATCAGCAAATTTTTGAAAAAGGAAATGAGAGAATGACAAATTTCTTTTGTACAAATGCAAATCAGTTAGAATATGATCGATCAATGTGAATGTGTTGTTATTTGAATTTATTCTTGTTGCATACTTTTTATCTACTTTATTTAACAGTGTAAAGCCATTCAATGCATATGCGTTCTCGTACTTATAAATAGTTTCTGAAGGAGCTAGTAGATTAAAGTTAAAATCACCTAACACTATGGCATTTGAATGTGCTGATAAGATTTCTTCAAATGTTTCTATAAAACGAAAACCATTTAGATCTGTTGGATTATTTGGTTGTCTATAGAAAGCTATGATTTTGATTTTATGTTTTAAAAGGGAGATTATTAAAGTATTATTGTTATTTAAATCTAACTCGTAGACTAAACTTGCACTATCAAAGGAGTTATGAACAAAAATTGCACAACCACCACCGCCTTTATTTCTCCTAACAGCATGAAAGGATTGATAATCCATCAAGTTAAAATAAGGAACATCCTCAGCATTTAACCACGTTTCAACAATCGCGACAATATGAATCCTAAACTTTTGTGTGTCAATGAAATCCTGGATATCGTTTAATGAATTTCTCAACGATCTTGCATTGAGATACAAAATATTTGCAAATGAATTTTTTGAGAGTGTATACGGTAAATTACTATGGTGTGTTACATTTACATTTAAATTTAAGTCGTCATCATTATCATTTAACATTATTATTATTTTATAATTGATTGTTTTCGGCATTTTCATCAAGTGAGAGGAAAAACAAACTTGCATGTAATTTAAGTGTTGTTGTTTAATTTATTCTTTAATTAGCGAAAAAGGAAAGACTAGAAACAGGATAATTTGCGACGTTTTCGCAGGATTCAAAAAGAGACAGACTGACAAAACCGATCATACAACTCGTTGATAATGGCTTTTTGCTAATGTATTACTAGGTTTCTTAAAACAATATTTAACGTCACCTATAATTTTCCCATTCAGGATACAATATCCATTTAGTCATTCAATCAACATGATCGAGCATTCTAGGTAGAACATTTGAGATTAATTAAAGGCTTACCTAGAAATAAGAAGAAAATTCATAGAAAAAATTCTTAGGAATTTAAAGTTTGGAAAAAAAACGATACTTATCGCAAATAAACTAGCCTAGTCTTCCTTCTATTAATGAACTGTTTCTCGGATATTACTATGCTCTAGAATTTGATGCTTAGTTGAGTCTATTTATGCCGCTTTATGTTAATTAATTAATTATGAAGTGATTTTTAAGTAAACAAGATGCGAAAATTTAAAAATTTGCCGTTTTAATGTTCCATGCTTGTTGGGTTTTTCAAAGTGTTAATTAACAAGTTAAGCTGCTGCATTGATTTTACTTTTATGTTTTCACCTTGTTCCTGTTTTACCATTATAAAACCTCTGCTCACCCATACATTTGAGAAAATATTTCTATGCTTCCTTGCTGTATTAAAAAGATTTCTGTTCAATTCGGTGAATGGCTCTCTAAAATTTAGTTCTTGTCCTCTTGCAACATTGGACGGTGAAATGTTGAAAATTTGTTCGCATAAAATTGGAATGTATTTCTTGTCCTTATCCTTTTGAGCACATTTAACTTCCCTCATCAGCTTATGCTTAACAGCTAAATCATAGAATTTCTGTGAAGTTCTGGCAGATTTGCAGTCAAAAATATTAAATAGTAGCTACTTTTGCACAAGGTTGCTTCATAAATTCACTATATCTTTGAAATAATGTTAAACAAATTTTTTGTCATGTTTTATTGATTTAAGATCATTTGCACAAATTGATTTGTCACTTTGAGCAATTTCTGTGAAGTTCTGGTAGATTTGCAGTCAAAAATATTAAATAATAGCTACATTTGCACTTGGTTGCATCATAAATTCACTGTATCTTTGAAATCATGTTAAACAAATTTTTTGTCATGTTTTATTGATTTAAGATCATTTGCACAAATTGCTTTGTCACTTTGAGCAATTTCTGTGAAGTTCTGGTAGATTTGCAGTCAAAAATGTTAAATAATAGCTACTTTTGCACTAGGTTGCATCATAAATTCATTGTATCTTTGAAATAATGTTAAACAAATTTTTTGTCATGTTTTATTGATTTAAAATCATTTGCACAAATTGCTTTGTCAGTTTGAGCAATTTCTGTGAAGTTCTGGTAGATTTGCAGTCAAAAATGTTAAATAGTAGCTACTTTTGCACTAGGTTGCTTCATAAATTCACTGTATCTTTGAAATAATGTTAAACAAATTTTTTGTCATGTTTTATTGATTCAAGATCATTTGCACAAATTGCTTTGTCACTTTGAGCAATTTCTGTGAAGTTCTGGTAGATTTGCAGTCAAAAATGTTAAATAGTAGCTACTTTTGCACTAGGTTGCTTCATAAATTCACTGTATCTTTGAAATAATGTTAAACAAATTTTTTGTCATGTTTTATTGATTCAAGATCATTTGCACAAATTGCTTTGTCACTTTGAGCAATTTCTGTGAAGTTCTGGTAGATTTGCAGTCAAAAATGTTAAATAGTAGCTACTTTTGCACTAGGTTGCTTCATAAATTCACTGTATCTTTGAAATAATGTTAAACAAATTTTTTGTCATGTTTTATTGATTCAAGATCACTTGCACAAATTGCTTTGTCACTTTGAGCAATTTCTGTGAAGTTCTGGTAGATTTGCAGTCAAAAATGTTAAATAGTAGCTCCTTTTGCACTAGGTTGCATCATAAATTCATTGTATCTTTGAAATAATGTTAAACAAATTTTTTGTCATGTTTTATTGATTTAAGAACATTTACACAAATTGCTTTGTCAGTTTGAGCAATTTCTGTGAAGTTCTGGTAGATTTGCAGTCAAAAATGTTAAATAGTAGCTACTTTTGCACTAGGTTGCATCATAAATTCATTGTATCTTTGAAATAATGTTAAACAAATTTTTTGTCATGTTTTATTGATTTAAAGTCATTTGCACAAATTGCTTTGTCAGTTTGAGCAATTTCTGTGAAGTTCTGGTAGATTTGCAGTCAAAAATGTTAAATAGTAGCTACTTTTGCACTTGGTTGCATCATAAATTCGCTGTATCTTTGAAATCATGTTAAACAAATTTTTTGTCATGTTTTATTGATTTAAGATCATTTGCACAAATTGCTTTGTCACTTTGAGCAATTTCTGTGAAGTTCTGGTAGATTTGCAGTCAAAAATGTTAAATAGTAGCTACTTTTGCACTTGGTTGCATCATAAATTCGCTGTATCTTTGAAATCATGTTAAACAAATTTTTTGTCATGTTTTATTGATTTAAAGTCATTTGCACAAATTGCTTTGTCAGTTTGAGCAATTTCTGTGAAGTTCTGGTAGATTTGCAGTCAAAAATGTTAAATAGTAGCTACTTTTGCACTAGGTTGCATCATAAATTCATTGTATCTTTAAAATCATGTTAAACAAATTTTTTGTCATGTTTTATTGATTTAAGATCATTTGTACAAATTGCTTTGTCAGTTTGAGCGATTTCTGTGAAGTTCTGGTAGATTTGCAGTCAAAAATGTTAAATAGTAGCTACTTTTGCACTTGGTTGCATCATAAATTCGCTGTACCTTTGAAATAATGTTAAACAAATTTTTTGTCATGTTTTATTGATTTAAAGTCATTTACACAAATTGCTTTGTCACTTTGAGCAATTTCTGTGAAGTTCTGGTAGATTTGCAGTCAAAAATGTTAAATAGTAGCTACTTTTGCAATAGGTTGCATCATAAATTCATTGTATCTTTAAAATCATGTTAAACAAATTTTTTGTCATGTTTTATTGATTCTAGTCATTTGCACAAATTGCTTTGTCACTTTGAGCAATTTCTGTGAAGTTCTGGTAGATTTGCAATCAAAAATATTAAATAGTAGCTACTTTTGCACTTGGTTGCATCATAAATTCGCTGTATCTTTGAAATAATGTTAAACAAATTTTTTGTCATGTTTTATTGATTTAAGATCATTTGCAGAAATTGCTTTGTCAGTTTGAGCGATTTCTGTGAAGTTCTGGTAGATTTGCAGTCAAAATGTTAAATAGTAGCTACTTTTGCACTAGGTTGCATCATAAATTCATTGTATCTTTGAAATAATGTTAAACAAATTTTTTGTCATGTTTTATTGATTTAAGAACATTTACACAAATTGCTTTGTCAGTTTGAGCAATTTCTGTGAAGTTCTGGTAGATTTGCAGTCAAAAATGTTAAATAGTAGCTACTTTTGCACTAGGTTGCATCATAAATTCATTGTATCTTTGAAATAATGTTAAACAAATTTTTTGTCATGTTTTATTGATTTAAAGTCATTTGCACAAATTGCTTTGTCAGTTTGAGCAATTTCTGTGAAGTTCTGGTAGATTTGCAGTCAAAAATGTTAAATAGTAGCTACTTTTGCACAAGGTTGCTTCATAAATTCACTATATCTTTGAAATAATGTTAAACAAATTTTTTGTCATGTTTTATTGATTTAAGATCATTTGCACAAATTGCTTTGTCAGCTTTGAGCAATTTCTGTGAAGTTCTGGTAGATTTGCAGTCAAAAATGTTAAATAGTAGCTACTTTTGCACTTGGTTGCATCATAAATTCGCTGTATCTTTGAAATCATGTTAAACAAATTTTTTGTCATGTTTTATTGATTTAAGATCATTTGCACAAATTGCTTTGTCACTTTGAGCAATTTCTGTGAAGTTCTGGTAGATTTGCAGTCAAAAATGTTAAATAGTAGCTACTTTTGCACTTGGTTGCATCATAAATTCGCTGTATCTTTGAAATCATGTTAAACAAATTTTTTGTCATGTTTTATTGATTTAAAGTCATTTGCACAAATTGCTTTGTCAGTTTGAGCAATTTCTGTGAAGTTCTGGTAGATTTGCAGTCAAAAATGTTAAATAGTAGCTACTTTTGCACTAGGTTGCATCATAAATTCATTGTATCTTTAAAATCATGTTAAACAAATTTTTTGTCATGTTTTATTGATTTAAGATCATTTGTACAAATTGCTTTGTCAGTTTGAGCGATTTCTGTGAAGTTCTGGTAGATTTGCAGTCAAAAATGTTAAATAGTAGCTACTTTTGCACTTGGTTGCATCATAAATTCGCTGTATCTTTGAAATCATGTTAAACAAATTTTTTGTCATGTTTTATTGATTTAAGAACATTTACACAAATTGCTTTGTCACTTTGAGCAATTTCTGTGAAGTTCTGGTAGATTTGCAGTCAAAAATGTTAAATAGTAGCTACTTTTGCAATAGGTTGCATCATAAATTCATTGTATCTTTAAAATCATGTTAAACAAATTTTTTGTCATGTTTTATTGATTTAACATCATTTGTACAAATTGCTTTGTCAGTTTGAGCAATTTCTGTGAAGTTCTGGTAGATTTGCAGTCAAAAATGTTAAATAGTAGCTACTTTTGCACTTGGTTGCATCATAAATTCGCTGTATCTTTGAAATCATGTTAAACAAATTTTTTGTCATGTTTTATTGATTTAAGATCATTTGCACAAATTGCTTTGTCAGTTTGAGCGATTTCTGTGAAGTTCTGGTAGATTTGCAGTCAAATATGTTAAATAGTAGCTACTTTTGCACTAGGTTGCATCATAAATTCATTGTATCTTTAAAATCATGTTAAACAAATTTTTTGTCATGTTTTATTGATTCTAGTCATTTGCACAAATTGCTTTGTCACTTTGAGCAATTTCTGTGAAGTTCTGGTAGATTTGCAATCAAAAATATTAAATAGTAGCTACTTTTGCACTTGGTTGCATCATAAATTCGCTGTATCTTTGAAATAATGTTAAACAAATTTTTTGTCATGTTTTATTGATTTAAGATCATTTGCACAAATTGCTTTGTCAGTTTGAGCGATTTCTGTGAAGTTCTGGTAGATTTGCAGTCAAAAATGTTAAATAGTAGCTACTTTTGCACTAGGTTGCATCATAAATTCATTGTATCTTTGAAATAATGTTAAAAAAATTTTTTGTCATGTTTTATTGATTTAAGAACATTTACACAAATTGCTTTGTCAGTTTGAGCAATTTCTGTGAAGTTCTGGTAGATTTGCAGTCAAAAATGTTAAATAGTAGCTACTTTTGCACTAGGTTGCATCATAAATTCATTGTATCTTTGAAATAATGTTAAACAAATTTTTTGTCATGTTTTATTGATTTAAGAACATTTACACAAATTGCTTTGTCAGTTTGAGCAATTTCTGTGAAGTTCTGGTAGATTTGCAGTCAAAAATGTTAAATAGTAGCTACTTTTGCACTAGGTTGCATCATAAATTCATTGTATCTTTGAAATAATGTTAAACAAATTTTTTGTCATGTTTTATTGATTTAAAGTCATTTGCACAAATTGCTTTGTCAGTTTGAGCAATTTCTGTGAAGTTCTGGTAGATTTGCAGTCAAAAATGTTAAATAGTAGCTACTTTTGCACTAGGTTGCATCATAAATTCGCTGTATCTTTGAAATCATGTTAAACAAATTTTTTGTCATGTTTTATTGATTTAAGATCATTTGCACAAATTGCTTTGTCACTTTGAGCAATTTCTGTGAAGTTCTGGTAGATTTGCAGTCAAAAATGTTAAATAGTAGCTACTTTTGCACTTGGTTGCATCA